GCTGCTGAATTTTCCTGGTCATCACTGACACTGAAAGATGCTTCTTCCAATTCTAAGTCTTGTGATATGAGCTCTCAGACTAGATCTTCATCTTCAAAAGAGTGTGCCCTCTTAAAGTTTGAGTACACCTAAACTAACATGTTTGGGGACTGAGTACTTAAAATGTTAGAGTTGCCTGGTTTAAAGATCTGAATTGAATGAGTGTCCTGCATCACCACAAGCTAACTCTGCCACCAGACAAGTTTAGGAATAGTAATATGTTTTGTATACCAGCATACATCTTTGGTACCAGACTGTAGAAAGATAAAGTTACAAAATATATTAAGGTATATTTAATGCCTTCTGAGCTCATCTTCCTTTGCTGATTCAGCTTCTCAGTTGCCATTTTGTTCTTTTTTCTTAAACTGGAATCTCTTTCTATTAATCTAAGATCTTAATTTAAAATGTCTGGTGCTTCTTCCCCTATTTTCTTGCCCATTTCCTTAGGGATAAGAGCATAACACTCATGTTAGGGCAAGAAATATGCTGAGAAGTGGGGTCTGGACTGAAATGCAGACGACATTGAGAACACTGGAACACTGAAGCTGGCCTTCTTTGGGACTTTCCGCTGCAGTTAAAGAGACCTCACTTTCTGAAAGATGTGAGCTCTGCAGACCAAACAAATGATAAGTCTTAGGTTGGCTTGTTCTTTTATATTTTTACTGTATGCTTAGAAGGATGAGGGTCTGACTGTACACCTATTGAAATAAGTGGGTCATTTGGGAAATGGCTAGCTCTTCATTTATTGTAATGTACATCCTGTACATGCGTAGCTACAAGGCAGTTACTCTGTGTGGGAGAATGGCAAGGAAGAATGCTGCATTGAAGTACTCGTCTGCAATGTCAGACTGAACAGTCACGATTACATTTGGACTGAGTAGATGTAAGACTAGTTTATTTTGAAGTTTAATTTATGATTGCACTTCAAAGAACCATATATTGGAGCAAGTTGCTACTTTAACACAGCAAGAATAGTAAGACTGAATAGATCCATTAGTGAAAGCAAATAAAAATCAGAGCAATATGAAATGGGAGTACTGGGAAATACGATTAGATATATCTGTTGAGGTTTCTAAAGATTACTGCCTGGGCTACAGAGAGGTGGTTAAGTACATTGCACTGCTTCCTTCTTCCAGCTGTTATTTAGAATGAAAAGGAGCTAAAATTACATATTTCTTAGGTAAACAATCCTGTAGTTAATCTGATTAATGCTGATTTCCTCATGATTATAATTAGGAATGAAGGTCTTAAGATAGCCAATTAGTATGAAATCTACTTTATTATAAATGTGTGACCTAGAATCAAAAACTTTTAAAATTTCTGGGAAATTATTTTGATTTTAGTTTTTAGTACAAGGCGTACTTTGTTCCAAAAATAAGGGCCTTCCTGGGTGCCATTGTTATGGCAAAGATTACTTTGTTGTTTTTGTTACTGTGTTGTTTTTGTTGGTTTTGTTTATTTAAAAAAAAAAAGTAGCAAAAACGAACTTTTTCCAGGAGAGAAATCCAGATGTTTCTCCCCCCCCCCCAATTATCCTGTAGAGTACACATTAGCAAAAGAAGAAGCTGCATACCTACTCTCTTTAAAATGTAAAAACGATCATTTACTAAATATAGGAACGTATATCCTCACCTCAAAAGGGGGGCAGCTTTCTTTAATGTGTTAATATAAGAAGTAAACCTGCTGTTAAAATTTGCTTTTGGTGGGAATTTGTGTCATTGAAGTTATTGTGTGTAGTTTTTGTATAGCTATTGAATAGTCTTGTATTTAAAATGAAGGTCTTGACTAAACTGACCTTGCAAATAAAGCTGATACATTTTTAAAAGGAGTCTTTCCACTTGTGAACTAGATGTGTAGTATCAGAAAAAGAAACATCTTGGTTGGATTGTTCTTTCATTCATTTAGAGCTCAGTTACCATGGTGCTCTAGCAGGAGAGCATAGTTACAATGGGAATGGTGCTGGTGGTGTGATGCCATTGTTAAGGTTTTTTCCTGAGTTTCCAATACAAACAATATACATTGCCTGTTGTGATAGCTCTCTAGCATTTCCTTTGAATGCCTAGGAGTGATGCTTCCATTTTAGAAGACCAGAAATATTTAAGAAGGCTTCATAGGCTCTTGTGTTGTGTCCATAGCTGTTGCAGGAACTACGTAGCTTGCTTTCAAGGCCAGCACTTTGCTAACATACCAGACTGGCAGCTTGTCAGTTCAAGCCCGTAATTTAAATCTTTGGTGCTAGTCAAAGCTGTCGACTTAATAACTGCTTACTGCATAAACAAGCTTGGAGGACTTGTTCTAGGTCATTAGCATGGGAAGTTTCACATGCTGAATTGATGTTTATCACTGCTCATTATTTGAAAAGCTAGGCTTATTTGAAGGAAAAGTAGTTGTTTGCTTAAACAACTCTGCTTTATGCGCTGCGCTCAGCCATGATCAGTGGAATAGGTAGTAGAAGTTACTTCAGAAATGGAGCAATATTAAACAACTTTTGAGTTTGTTTTGGTTTTTTTGGAGTCAAATGGCAGAGGAAGCAGGTTGGCATGGTAGACATCTCATTATGCTATAGCGGGAAAGATCTGCTTTGCAATACCTTCTGTCACCACAGAGGTCGATAAAGAAGCAAGGAAGTAGTACTGCTGAATGAGTAACACTGCATATACACTGATTTGGCTAGTATGGCCCAGTACACTAGGGACACATACTCATTAGTCATCTAAATGATTAGTAATACTACAATACTACAGAGAAAATAATCAACGCTTCACATTTTTATGCCACTTTTTCCCCGGAGGCACTAAAATGGTTCAGCAGCAGTAGTGCAAAAGCTTCTCCACTGGTATAAGTCATACGTGTGTGGGAATTATTTCCTTCATCTCAAAACAGTATTATCCCTTAGGGCCATGCATAAGATACACTCTGCCTTGCTTGAAGCAAAAATCGAAGAGCAAGTGATCAAGGGCAGTAGCTGTAGTGTAATCATTAACTAAACTCCACCTGTATTTGAAGAATGTGCTATGAGGTTCTGACTGTGACTCGGGAGTTGGGTTTTTGTCTTGTTCTCTGATTACAGTCAGTCACAACCCCTGCACCATCAGGAAACGTAACAAGACGGCAGCTCACTGCTTTGGTGCAGTGGTGTTCTGAGTCTACCAGTCCTTATGGAGCCTTACTGTGTTTCTGGTAACTAGCTGTTATAAAGCTGACTGGCATGGTCCTCCATAATTTGTAAAGCTAAACAGGATCATGTCAGGAGACTTTAGTCGGAGGAAATTTTGCTCGTGTATTTAGAAATATTACAGTATTTTAAACATTGAACAATTTGACTGTTACAAGCTTCCTTAAACATTAAGAAAACAAGTATCTCTGCTGCCTGGAAGCATTGTTGAAAACAGGAGCATCTACAAAATAATGAACTGCAGCTATGATACTGAAATAAATTAATATTTCTTAGTTCCCAATTTTGCTTTAGATTACAGTCAGGACTAACTGTGTTCATTTTGCTCCGGCTCAGTAGTTCAAAGAGAAATTGATCTTTTTTTTTTTTTATTTCTCATTTAAAATTTGCTTTATGTATCTTTTAAATTTTTAAAACGTTAAAACATGCCAAACAGATGATGTGTTCTATTAGCCATATATAGCTACACTAAAAATCTGAAAGTTCCCTCGTTAAATGTTTTAAATATTTAATTCCTTATCTGTATAAGCAGTTTTTAAGTTTCTTCTTCTTCATTAAGATTTTCTCATATCTTCTCTTATTATTTTGATTTTTTAAATATTAGATGAGTAAAGCAATGAGATTCCTTTTCCAGCTGAAGATGTGGGATGATGGGAACTATACAGCTGCTTAATCTGTTTTCAGAAATCAGGCTGGAAAATATAGAAAGTAAATACCATCAGAAACCCTGAAGAAAACATTATTTAAGCCTTTTATGTTCTGGTCAATGCTGATGAAGTCATCTAGATTCTTTTACATAATGTCCCCTTTAATGGTGGAAATTGACTTCTTGGCAGCTGTACAGTGCAGAATAAGATGAATAAAGTTCTGTTCTTATTTCAAAATACTGTACTAAGAAAAATTCAGTCTTCAGTTTTATCCATTTGATGTTAGTTAAACCAACTGTTAAATTAAAGAGAGCACACTTGGAAAAAAGAACCATCAAATAAATTTGAAACATTGCTTGTTAGTACTTTTTGGAGAGGCATTTTATTTCTCCTTTGGATCCTGACCCTGCTGAGGCAATAGAAGGGTGTAGCACTGACAGTCATGAGTCCATGATGAGAAACTGCATTTAACTCCTTTATTTCTTCATGAAGGTCTTGCTGGGTCTCCAGATCATGTGGCATCCTGCAGGAACTTTAATCCCATGGTTTACCTGGGTACTAGAAATACATGTATCCTTGTAAGCATAGGAGCAATAAATATGTCTGATTCTGTTTTAGCAAAGCATGTAAGCGTGCTTAATTTCATCATGGTTAATCAAAGCCTTGAAGTCTATGTGTAGATACTCATCACTTCACTATGGTTCTGTGGTTACAGGGATTCTAAGGTTTTTACAGAAATGGTACTGCAGTCCCTAATGCAAATCCCTAGTGTTTCCAGTTCCTAGGATGAGCTGACAGCTGGTTATGACTCAATTATCATTTGCTATGACTTATCTCTTGCACTCCTGAAGATTCAGAAGTACTGGAATGTTTGCAAAAGTAGCAAGCAAGAACAGTGCACGCTTCCTTATGTGGCATGACAAAACAAGCAAATGGCTTCTTTATTCCTCTTAAAACTTTGCAGATTTGTAGCTACCACAACTTTAACGATGAGTAGGAACTCCTCACTCAAGAAAAGAGATCTAATGGTGGCTGAAGGGAAGCAAAATTGAGTATATGCTCCAAATAAGGCAGTGTGGGGGAAATAAATTCATTACATACTGAGTATCTGAGCAAAGCCATGTGTCATGTTTCCTTAGGTTATCAACAGAAGATGTGTAGAAGCAGCAGTGATGACAGGCCTGGCACTCAATTGCAGCATAAACAAGAGGTCCTTGTTCGACAGAAAACACTATTTCTATGCAGATCTGCCTGTAAGTATGCAGTATATCTGGTCCCTTTACGGCTGTAGGAAGGGGCAGGTCGGGAGCATAAATGGCAATAGGGGATGAGTAAAGAGATGCTTTTTCTGTTTTCAGTCAGTGTGCTGCTCACCCCAACGGGATGCTGCACTGTGCCCTGATGAATAGGCAGCTGTACCCTGGTGCTCACTGATTGAATATGATTGCTCTGATTGCTGACTCCTTGCTTAGCTGCACGATTCCAGGAGCTAACGTAATTGAATTGGGAGCTGGAGCTGCTTTGCCCCTTAAGTTCTCCATTCCTGGTGTTTAGCACTAATTGTCTGTTAGGGTAAAAGCAGCCTGATAATAGTCCTTCATTTAAAGTGAATATATAACAAACACAGGTTCCAGTGGTATAAACATAACAGTGTCTTTCTGTGTGTGCTTAGGACACAGAAATATTTAATTTCCCTTTAAAATGTTTGTGGTAGTTTCACGAAATTAACAAAAAAACCACCAAACCTGCACCTGAGAAATGGAGCCTTTGCAGTGTGGTTCGTTGGTAGCTTTCATGTTGTGTAGAAAGTGTCATTGGAAGTCAAGTGCATTTTGTCACACTCGATATGGGTGTAAAAATATTGAAATAATTTAAGAACCTGACTTCTGTCACTGCAGCAGGATGCAGCAGTTTGAGCCTTTTTTTCTATTTTAATGAAATGAAAACTTTCTAGTGTTAAACATTTTTTTTTTCCTTGTCAGATTATTTGTGCTGAAGGATCATTTGAACCCTAATCTGTCAAAGGGACTACACTAGTTTTACTTCCCCTGGTTTTGGGGTGAAGAGCTGATGACTACATCAAAGGAAAAAAAACTATTTCTATTTTATCCAAGAAAGATCAGGTGTTTTAGGTTATCCTCTCTTTAGGTGAGGTGTCCCTGACATCCTGAGAAGCAGAGTGGGAGATTTCTCAGGTCCCAAACGAGCATGTAGAGGTGCTGTATTACTAACAGAATTACTTTCTCTTCCACTGTTTTGTGGTAGATATTCTGAAGTTGCACAAAACATGTTCAAATACAATTGCTTCCTGCATTAGAAAGAGAATTATATTATAGTTGTCCACTGGAGACCTGGATCTCAAAAGAGATTTCTGCTCTGTTTTATTCTAGGTTGGGAACTTGTGGCTGTTCTGTGAAGTTGATGTAATAGCTGATTTAGTTTCTGAGGATAACTTTTCTAATATTTGTAAGCCATTAAGAGGTCCTTTTGCTGGGGGCTCTGTAGTGAGCTAGAATCATAGAATTCTGGGAATGTTTAATGCAGATTTACTAGTTTGAATTGCCAATATGTTGGGTTTTCTTGTTTGTTTTGGTTTTGTTTTTTTTTTTCCATGTAAAACTATCTTAAAGTTCATTTCCAGACCTGAAGGAGAAAAAAAGTGAAATAGCAGGAAATAAACATTACTTTCAGAATTTGTTTACACATCATAAAGAAACACCAAAAACATTAAAGAGATGTTTTCAAAGCACCTTTGGTGATTCGGCTGTTAAACTGAAAGCTATCTCTCATATTCTTGTACTGTCTGTTGCTACCAGTTTGCTGCATAGAAGCTGTATACAAGGATGTTATCATAGGAAAGAAACCACATCCGTGTATTTAGAGGGAAAGGGAGGTGGAATAAGGTGTGTACAGCACCAAGTGGGCTGTCATTGTCTGCATACATGAAGTACAGGACTGCATTTCATTGTGAAACAGTCGAGTCAGGAACCCTGTAATAAGATGCAGAGTTTAGGCTAATGAGCGATGTAGAACAAATAAAATAAATCTAGCTCTTAGAGTCATTTGACAGTGGGATTATTGTTACTCCTGAAAATGGGGCTTTGGGTGGAAAATGGGATTCTTGTTATTTATTGTCACTCACAATTTAAGGTTCTTAAAAAAATAATTCTAATGAGATATTTAGGAGAAGGGAAGAGCTGTGCAATTAGCATAGGTTGCAGAGAGTCAGTTACTGTATTTTTCTCATAGTTTTCTTTATAGTGATAACGGCTAGAAGGTCATGCACTTCATTGCATATGTAAATAGAGCTGTTCACAGGAGCAGACCATTGTTCTCCATCCCAATGTATTGTCGCTATCTCCACATTTTAGAGTAAGCTCCCTGCAAAACATGCAAAAGTTCCTCCCAATTCATTAAAATCTGGCAGGCTTTTTGTTTAATTCTCACCAGTGAAGGCATGAGCAGGCGAAGAAGGAGGAAGAAATGGGGTCCCTATCTCAGCAGAGTAATTGATTTCACCTCTGTATTTTTACATCATTGCAGGTATTGCAATACCTTGCCACTGGCACCCCCTTTTCTGGATAGTAGTTCCCCCTTTGGAGTCCCAGGCATGAGGTGGCATTTATCAGCTTGTGCTTTATGTGGGATTGTGGTCTCTATCTTTTAAACTGCTACATGAATGAAATTTGGTTTTCTTATTTTCTTGATTCCACACACATTACAGACCCCCCCTGCTTCCCTCTGCTCCCCTCTGATGAGAATAGTTCTGGACAGGTAGAGAGGGATGTTCATTCTGGTGGGAGGATGAGTGATAGTCCCAGTTTGGGGATGGAGGTATGGTAACTGGCTTCAGACAAGATTTAACATGGTCACAGAACCACAGGCATGGAAGAACGTCTTCCAGTCCATTTCCTGTCCCCAGGCAGTGTCAGTGAAATTTATGTAACGCTTGGCAAGTAGTTGTGCAGTTGATTATTGATTATTTCTGCATTGCTTGTATGGAGAAGTGCTTTTATTTTTTTCTAGACTTTTAAATTCTCACACTTATGTTGAATTCTATACCTATCTTCCTTTCCAGCAAAGCAAAGTGACTTCTGAATTTGCATGTGCATATGTTCTGTTCTCTTACATAGGTCACTGTGGAAGATGTTGCATTTTCAGGTTTGTTCTTAGTCTATAATATTTGCAGTTGGCTATGCTGCTGGTTTCCAGAAAGTGTTTTATGTGATTATAAATCTAATTTTGTTGACAGGCTGGCTATCAGATCACTCAGCAAAGAGTTCCTATTGCAGTGAATGGAACTTTGTCGTACAGTCTCTGCACAGACAACAAAATGAGCCAGATGGTAACCAAAACTGTGAGGATTAAACAAATTCAGTTGGAGCAAGACAGTGGGAAGAGTCTTCATGATGACACAAGGAGCCAGACTCTTGTTGACTTGAATAGGGCTGGTAGGCTTGGATTATTTTTCTATTTTTCTCCTTTCTGTGTAAGATGAGTCATGAAAGGTGAATGGGTGGCAGGGAAGAGGTGAAAAATAATAACTCTGATGTCCTTGACAATAAAAATTCATCAAAATGACGATTACACTTGAAGCAGGGGTATACTTGGCCTTCCCTTTGTTGTTGGTTGATGTCAATTGCCAGTAGCAAGTTAGAAGTCAGTTGGCTACGGCTTGCTCAAAACTGTGTGTCAGTCACATAAAGCCACTCAGCTATTTTAGCTCTTTGTATGCATTGTTATTCATAAATAAATAAATCAAAGATATAGTGAATCAAGCTTATGTCTGGAAGGAGCAGCTGTTGTAGAGTTTGTCAGTGCATGAGTCAGGCATTTCTTGTAATGATTAGCTTTGAAAAAATGTAGATTTTTCTCTTTAAACTTTGAAATCCTAAACAAAATGAACTAAATTAGCACACAACATGGGTTGCAACCTAGATGGCCTAGCCTAACTGGCTCCAGTGTCCATTGAAGTTAAGGGCTGTGGCTGCTTGTGTTCTTTGAAAGCTGGATATTGAAGCTAAAAGCTGGACTGCATCTGTTTACAGTTTTGTCTGTTCCAGAATTAGTTCAAGATAAATGAATTTGAACCTGGAATTGGATTGGCTTTACATGAGAGTTTTTCTACAGAAAGGCAGGAGAAGGCTGTGTCCTTCTGATCTACATGTCATCAAAGGGTGGAAGGTTGGTTGTGGTTTCCTTTACAAAATAGAAGGAAAAGTTTTATAGCAATCTGCAGCTAGGCCCATAGTGAGAGCTACTGAATAATGCATTGGGGCTTTTTTTTTTTTTTTCCTTTTTTAGCTCAGAAAAAGCCCAAGTGCTTTCATGTGTTTAGCCAGTTGCACTCTAATATGCCAAGATCAAAAGCTATTGTTGAAAATCTCCTGTCCCTTTCCCTGATAGGAGTTGGCCTCATGGAGGTTGTCATGGAGCCTGATATGTGCTGTGGGGAAGAAGCAGCTGCAGCAGTCAGAGAGCTTCAGCTCATTCTTCAAACGCTTGGGAGCAGCCACGCAGTCATGGCAGGTACTGAAGGGGGAAGGTCATCTTCTCTTGTCACCAATAATTCTCTGCCTTTCCAGGAGTTTTGCAGCTTCTGGTTATTTTGCTTTCTGTCTTTTGCTATTCTGTCTGTTGTTTTTACAATCCTCAGGGCCTGTTCTAATGTCTGCCATGCTTCAGGTGCCTGTACGGCCCTGCTTTTGTCTGCAGAGCTTTGCAGTGCTAGATTTTATATGGCCTCACACAATATTTTTACAGGCTAGGTCTAGGCAGGAAGGAATATCCCCAGGGTTGTTGTAGTTTCCCCTGTCTGTCCTCAACTTGCTTGCTGCAGCACTGTTGTGCAGATCTGTTTTAAGGATCAGTTGTAGAATATTGAAGTTACAGGACGGGACAATATAGTAGGTGCATGGATCATCTTGTAAGTTGTGTCAGGTCTCAGCTAGTCATAGGGTGGTATAGGCAATAAACTTGTGCTGGTGTCATGGGTGAGATGGAGTAAATGACAGTGATTAGTGGACATGGGTGCTGGGGTTAATTTAAGAACCAACAAGACTGCAGCTTTTACCCTACTTGATCATTTCACACTTTATCTTTTCCTCCCCTGCAACATTATGTTCACTAGGTCTCAACTTGTACTACTACTAGGGAGATCACTGCTGGTCTGGGGAGATAGGCCAGAAAATTGTGTTCATGCTGTGCAGCAGGTTTGCAGATACCAGCATCAGGTGTTAGAGTCCAGTGTCACTAGGCATCTGCTGGCATTTGTCTCCACACATCTCTCAGATCTTTGGGATCCTTCCCTGCCTTCAAGATTGCTTTAGCCAAGATTGCTACTATCTTTCTGAGCCACTTCCTCTTGTGGGGAGCCCTGCTGTTGCCACCAGCTCTTTTCTCTGGAACCCTAAGGCCCCAGTTTTTGCAATAAGTGATGTGCAGAGGCACAGAATGTGATCAGCCTCCTAACATGTAACTCTGTCTCACATTCCTCTATTAATTGGAGGATTCAGGTCATACCCCTTCTGCTCAGTCCTAATGTTACCAAAATTTACAACCAGCCCATGATTACAGCTAATAAATAGTAGGCTTCTGCTTGAGAGTTTAAAAGAACAGCTTTGGGTATTAATCCCCTCCACACATACACCCAATTATCAGCTGCCTATTAATGTTTACAATGTAAACTGTATTTTTGCCTGTGACAGTTGGCCTCACTGTTCTGGCAACAAATTCAGTCCATAGTGAGAAACGAGTCAGAGTGGTCCATGTATCACCCGATAAATGGGATCCAGTAAATGTTCCTAGTGATGCAAATCTAATTTAATATGGGGGGAAATAATAATTGCTAGACATTATGTGTCTGCATCTTTTCTAATACTAGTGTTACACATGTCTAATGGGACACAGCTGTTAATATTAAGCAGCCAGTTTGCATGCTTCTTCAAAGGCCTTCATGGAGATGCAGACTCTCCTTTATTGCTATTCAATTTGGCCCTAAGATTGCCACTGGCATTGCACTATGATACCTTTTATCACAGTGAGATTTCTGACTTTAGGGGACAATTCCAGTTAAGGGAATATTTTTCCTCCAGTATAGTTGGCTTTTAAAAGTAATTGGAATTTTGTTTGGTTTGGTTTTGATTGGTTTTGTTTTTAAAGTGGTGGTTTTAAGGGCTTTCTACTGTAGTCTTCCCTCATCATACTTACTTTCTTTCAGATAAAGGTTTTACATTCTTACCTTAATTTGGCTTGTGTGTTCAGTGCCCAGTTTATCAGGTGGTATTTCATTACAGCTAACGGATGAAAAGATTATTTCATTGCAAAGTGAAAGAAGCTGGGCTTAAAGTGGGTTTAAAGGAAAAAAGCTTTTTTAAGAACATTTGGGGCCTGGCTTTCCTTTCTTATGCCTGATTAACTTTATTGTCTTGTCACACTGACACCTACATCCAAGTAGAAGCAGGTCATGTCTCAAAATGGAGCAAGGGCAGGACAAGTCTATTCCTTTTTTGGAACAAGTACTCATTTCACCCCAAAGAGAGAGCACATGCAAAACACTTCTCTTGAAAGAGATGTTGGGTTATTCCAGCACCTTTGTCCTTCATCTGCATGTTTGGCAAGACTCTATGAGAGGAAATTAGTGTGCTATCATCCAGCCTGCTTTTGCAAGTGTACCAAGACCCCTCTAGTCAATTTACATCTATTGATTGGGAAGGATTCTGAAGTTGTAGCCATCTTCACAGGTTTAGCTCTGAGCTATTTTGCGCTCTCTTTAATAGTGCTGCTGTATCTAAACAGGAAGTGGTTTGTTTCTTTTTATCTGTATTTGGAATAAAGTTAGAAAAGAGGGAGGCTACACGTTCACTGTGCAGTATGGGAAAAATAATGATTCTTTTTAATACAGCCTCTCCTGTTTGTTTATTTCTACTAGTTGATATACTGCGGCAAGCTTTTTCTTCTCAGAAGGGATGTCTTTAGAGGGACAAAACTGGGAAAGATACAATTACGAATTACTTCTGGTCGGGTTGTTAAAGATCTCCAAGGTTAGAGATTTCACATTAGTCCTTCTTGGACTAAAAGCGCAGGATGCTTTTATATAAAACTTTGTATTCAGTTTCAGGTTTTGGCAACCAGGGGAATTGGGGGTGGGGGTGGAATTGCAGTTTCTTGGAGGAGAGGGAGGAAATTACAAAAAAATCTGCTACTCACAGTTTGTCCCTGAGCTGTAAATTTCCAAGAACACCTTAGTAAATCTGTTCAACATAACTGTAGGTTCTTGTGTTCCATGCTAGGGCAATATGTACCCATCAAACTGTAATTCCAAAAGTGTGGGGGTTTGCTGTTTTTAGAGGAATGGAAGCTCACAATCCACCACTTGCTTGTGTAATTCTTCCTTTTATTTAAGAGCTGTTAATCAGAAGCTTTTTTCACTGTATGGCTTAGAGGATCTGTGCTGCACTGCACCATGCAGTTTTCTCTGAGAGGAATTATAAGCAGTAATTAAAACCAAAACATTATTGTAGGAAAATGTTGAATTATTAGAGGCAGTGGCTTGAGGTGGAATCACAAACAGAAAGCTCTGATGAGGTGGTTTGTACTCTTTTCTGCACATACAGAAGTTATTAATGCTCTGCACATAACATGCAGTTTATTAATGCATGCCAAGGTTTTTACTCTAGTTTACAGGTCAGGCTATTCTGTTGATAAAATTTCCTTTTACAGAGGGTCAGCTGAGAGTGGATGCCAATGTTTCTGTGCATCACCCTGGAGAGCCTTATGGAGTGAGGACTGAAGTGAAGAATATCAATAGCGTACGATTCCTGGCAAAAGCAGTAGGTAAATGATGGTTGCTTCGTTAAAAGAGTATTGTAGACACTTTATGTGGTCTCACATGAAATGTGTCAGCCTTAGAGTGCAGAAATTGGTCTCAAATGCCCTGACTAGCTTTGCCTGGGTGTCCCTTCCATGCACCCTGACTGTGAGTCCAGGAGTCTCATTTAAGCTCAGACTGAGGCCTTCAGACTTGATCTAAGCTATGTCAGCGTATGTGCCAGTTTTCAGCCCTGTCTCCCGGTAGACCTTTCTGTAGTCTTGTTCACAATGCTGTCTCTGGATTTACCTCCTTCTGCTTCTGACTGCACTCTGTGGATGCAGCCTAGACTCAGCTCATCCTCTCACCTTGACTGAGACTTTCAGTGAACTCTGTTAGTAGCACAAGCCCCTGCCCATGCTGTGTTCAGACTAGTGGGACTGCACCAGATAGCAACAGCTCTGCCTGTGCTGTGGTCACCCTCGGCTCCTGGCTTATCCCTCCTTGTGCAGCAGCCCTACTCTTGCTGCTTCCTGACAGAATAAATCTTAGTATGGGGTACTCTGGGGATAGCAGCCATATCAGTTTGCAGTTTTGTTACAGAGGTAACCCCCTGCCTGCAAAAAGAATAAAGCCGATGATTCAATACCTAATACGTTTATTATTGAAATATGTTAGCAGTAGCTTTCTGTCCTCCAGTGTAGAGGATTGCTTCCCACTGAGTATGGTAGGTGGTGTGTATGAAGTTCAGATGCAGATTGGGTATGAGCAAGAAGAGATGATTATTGCATCTGCAAAAGAAAACTCAACTGGGTGATTTGGAAGGTCACTAGGAATGTATTGCTTGGCTGCAGTGCCTGGGAGAAAATGTTTTCTATTTAAAGGGAATGAAAGAAGATGAGGAAAACTTGCAAAGAAGAAAACAGTTCTGGAGAGAGAGACAGTGACTGATAATTCTGCCTGTAACTACTGTGGTTGATTTCATTAAGTTTAAAACAACAAACTTATTCTGTTACTGCATAGCAGTGAAAAATGAAATACTGGAGTGTGCAAAAGCTAATAATGCAGTATTGGAGAAGGCTGAGGTTCTTACTGACTTCTTTGCCTCGGTCTTCACTCGCAAAGGCTCTGACCGCACCACCCAAGCCTTGGAAGGCAGACTCAGGGACTGTGAGAATGAAGACCTTGGTCCCACTGTAGGAGAGGATCTCCTTCAAGACCATCTTAAAAACCTGAACGTGCACAAGTCCATGGGACCTGATGAAATCCATCCGCAGGTACTGAAGGAGCGGGTGATTGAAGTTGCTAAGCCACTGTCCATCATATTTGAAAAATCATGGCAGTCAGGTGAAGTTCCTAATGACTGGAAAAAGGGAAATATAACCCCCATTTTCAAGAAGGGGAGAATGGATGACCCAGGGAATTACAGAGCAGTCAGTCTCACCTCTGTGCCTGGCAAAATCTTGGAGCAGATTCTCCTGAAAGGCATCCTAAGGCACATGAAAATCAACAAGGTGCTTGGTGACAGCCAGCATGGCTTCATGAAGGGGAAATCTGCCTGACCAATTTGGTGGCCTTCTATGATAGGGCTACAGAACTGATGGACAGGGGTAGAGCAGTTGACGTCATCTACCTGGACTTGTGCAAAGCTTTTGACACTGTCCCACGCAATATCCTTGTCTCTAAATTGGAGAGACATCAATTTGATGGATGAACCACTGTAGGAGAGGAACTGGCTGGATGGCTGCACGCAAAGAGTTGTGGTCAATGGCTCAATCACAGAATCACAGAATCCCAAGGGTTGGAAGGGACCTCAAAAGATCATCTAGTCCAACCCCCCTGCAAGAGCAGGGTAACCTAGAGTACATCATACAGGAACTTGTCCAGGCGGGCCTTGAATATCTCCAATGTAGGAGACTCCACAACCCCCCTGGGCAACCTGTTCCAGTGCTCTGTCACTCTTGATGTCCAGCTGGAGACCAGTAACGAGTGGTGTCCCTCAGGGATCGCTGTTGGGACTGGTCTTGTTTAACATCCTTGTGGGTGACATGGACAGTGGGATTGAGTGTGCCCTCAGCAGGTTTGCCGATGACACCAAGCTGTGTGGTTCGGTTGATACGCTGGAGGGAAGGAATGCCATCCAGAGGGACCTCGACACGTTTGTGAGGTGGACTGATGCCAACCTCATGAAGTTTAACCATGCCAAGTGCAAGGGCCTGCACCTGGGTTGGAGCAATCCCAGGCACAGCTACAGGTTGGGCAGAGAAGAGATTCAGAGCAGCCCTGCGGAGAAGGACTTGGGGGTGTTTGTCAATGAGAAAATGAACATGAGCCGGCTGCAGTGTGTGCTCTCTGTCCAGAAAGCCAACTGTATCCTGGGCTGCATCAAAAGGAGCATGACCAGCAAGTCGGAGGGGATCCTGCCCCTTTACTCTGCTCTGAGACCTCACCTGGAGTATTGTGTGCAGTTCTGGTGTCCTCAACATAAAAAGAACAAGTCCAGAGAAGGGCCACGAGGATGATCAGGGGACTGGAGCACCTCCCGTATGAAGACAGGCTGAGGAAGTTGGGGCTGTTCAGCCTGGAGAAGAGAAGGCTGCGTGGAGACCTCATAGCAGCCTTCCAGTGTCTGAAGGGGGGGCCTATAGGGGTGCTGGGGAGGGACTCTTCATTAGGGAGTGTAGTGATAGGACAAGGGGTAATGGGTTCAAACCTAAACAGGGGAAGTTAGGATTGGTTATAAGGAGGAAGTTTTTTACTGTGAGGGTGGTGAGGCACTGGAACGGGTTGCCCAGGGAAGCTGTGAATGCTCCATCCCTGGTGGTGTTCAAGGCCAGGCTGGACAAAGCCTTGGGTGAGATGGTTTAGTGTGAGGTGTCCCTGCCCATGGCAGGGGGGTTGGAACTAGATGATCTTAAGGTCCTTTCCAACCCTAACTATTCTATGATTCTATAATAAGCTTACTCCTTTTGCTTTTGTTTCTGTCAGACTATGAAATACAAAGGCAAATTGAAGAACTTGAAAATGGAGGAGCAATTCTGAATGAAACAAGAGCCTTTGATTCCAGGCTTGGGTGAGTTTTTAGTTTGAAGGAGCATCAGGAGTAGCAGCTTTAGAGTGCCCTGGATACCTAGTGACATGATCAGGCGAGGTAACATGGTATTGCTCAACTTCTCTAAAGGTAATGTTCACAAGCATAGTCTCCTCACAGATAGTAATATCTTCTTAAAGTTAAGACTTTTTCACAGCAGACTGTTATGTCAAGCAGGAAAATAACTGTCCTCTTACTTACACACATTCTTTGAAGTGCCTTTGAGAAGTTTTTCTGATCTTCATGAGGCAAGTTTTTGCCATAAAACTAGTTCTGTGGTGTACTTCTTACCACATCTTACTTGTTTTGGCTTTATTTTAGGTGCACTGTACCAATGAGAGACAAAGAAGGAAAACAGGATTACCGGTAATATTTGTATTTTGTCAAATGAAGTTAACATTTCAAGAACTGATAATTTAGGGGATCATTCCTTAAGTGTAGTCAGTGTAATGAGCACGCAAAGATGGCACAGTGAGTATATATTGGAAGTTTACTTTCCACTGGAAGGGGAAGAGACCTATCAAAACCAGTGCTAGTCTGAGCAGTTCAGATCTAGAACTGTGTCTCATCTCTGCTAAACCCATAGACCTTTCCCAAAACCTAAGTGTGTAGCTCAGAGTGGGTAAGTTGAAGGTTTACTCTGTGGCCAGTACAAGAGTATTCTTAAGAAAGCCTGACATAAAACGTAAGAATATTTGGAGTTAAGCATTGCTCCCTATTTAAGTAAATATCGAGGGAAATGGTTTTCAGATAGCAGGCCCTGCCTCTCAGTGCTTAAATTCTGTGATCACAGATCACAGTCACTCTTTGAAAATCCTAACTACTATTGAAGTGTGTCAGCATTCATAGGCAGGTTTCTACCTTAAGGTCTTTGTAGACCTAATGAAGATGTTAACCTTGCTAAGTACTTCTTGATTTCACCAATGTGAGGTGATAGCTATCAAACCATAAACAACCACCCAAGAAGGATTTAGCCAGAGGGTGAGGAGGCAAGGTTCTGCTGGGAACAAGTTGCTGGTGAAGTGTTGCAAAGTAGCAGCACAGCTGCTTAATGCCCTAACATGGGAGGCAGTCACAGTGGTGTCTGGAGGGGAAGAGTGACATAGTTCACTGCTCTGGGCACTCTTTCTCCTGCTCTGTACATGCCTGCCCCCTCTCATGCTTAGATTCATTTTAGTGCTGATCCTCCCAGTAGTTCCCTGGATGTTCATCCCAGAGACAGTCTTCCTGTTACTCCCGGAGTTCACTTCCCAGCTGGAGAATTATAGTTCTGGAGAACTTTCAGAGCCTCTCAGCTTTGCCATATCTGTGTTCCTGTTAAATCTACATATATTCTACCACTGATCTTACTAGAGCAGAGCAAGGATATGAAAGCATCCCACAAACTTAAAATCTACTTTTTAAATTACTGAATGTAGAAATGCAGCGGAAAAGTCAGTGATAATTTTGTGAATCCCTTATTATGGTAGGCGCTGGCATGAGGCTTATTTAACAAGACTTATTCAGACAAATACAAAAGAAGATTCATTAAAGCCTAGGCAAAACTTGGGAGTTTGAGATATTTCAAATAAAGACCAGAAAGGTTATTACTAGTACCAAGATTATTATCAGTATTAAACTGTGGGGGGTTTTGAGATTTTTTTTTTCCTGACTTAATGCTGCACATGATATTTTAAACTTAAGATCTATGTTTAAGCAGATTTGAAATAGAAATTATTATAGTTAATGTAGAGGGTGCCCCATGTCCTTTATTCTGATACTTTTGAACCCCTCATTTGATCATGTCAGAACAAGGTTTCTGCTTCAATCGCAGTTATCTGAGTGGTTTGAATTGGCCCCTTCTTTTTAAGGGAGCCTTTTGTTCTGTGGCAGCACCCTACTGAGCACAGTGACTTTGCTTTTAGCGCAGCATGGGATTTCATAAAGACTTTTGAAGTTAGTCTGAAAAAAGTTACAACCTGCCCAGTTCACTCCTGACCACTGGCTGTCAAATCTGGGTTTTTCCCTGCCAGTCCACTCCTGGTTTTGTTCAGATCCACAATTCATGGTTGATGGCAGTGGGAGTGAGTTGTTCCCATATCTATTCTTCCTGGGTTTATTGGCATTTTTTTAATTATTATTTTGGGTGCAGATTTTCCATCATCAGCTCTTCAATAATCAGTGGCAAATACTCGAAGAAAACAGACTTTTCAGAGGCTATTTTCTCACTACTTAACAGTGATACAGGAAGTCATGAATTTTTAATAGTTTGTTTAGTTGAAAAAGTAATACAACTTCCAGGTAATATAAACTTGTGATATACATTTTATTCCTTGTTGCTTAGCTTCTGACTGAAAATAACTATAATGGATGTTTTCATTTTTACTAGCTTCATGCCAGAGCCAAACCTTCCTCCATTGATTCTGTATGATACAAAATCTTTGCCAGCTAATATGAACCATCAGCAAGTGGTAAATATTGATTGGATTCATGAGAGACTTCCTGACCTCCCCAGTGTGAAGAGAGCAAAGCTTGTTGAACAGTATGGGATTCTTCCTGAACACAGCTTCACCTTATTGGTAGGTCTGTTGATCAAATGCTAAAAGAAGCCTAGAAACTTCAAAAGTTGTGTGGTTTTTGAAAAGATTAACAAATGTCATATAAACCAGCTGTCCGCTCTTATGGATGCTTTTATTTGGAGATACATTCAGTGTGTGATTTGTATCTTGAAGCTATATACATGAATAGTGTGGAAAAGAAACCATACACGGTGCACCTAGAAGTGTTTCTCATGCAAGATGCAGTCAAATAACTGTTATTTAATATTGATCTTGTCTGTCTGCACATGGATGCACCCATGTCTTGACTACAGCAAACATACAACTTCCTGCTGAAAAACCCTTGTCTGCAGGTGCCTGCTTCTCTTGTCTTTGGGTGTGGAGCAGAGCTGGGCACCTTGTCAGTATTTAACAAATTGGTAGATGTGTTTTCCTGACTACAGAAGCAAAACCCAGTGTTTCAGTCTTTCAGCTTCATGTGCCTGTTGATCTGGCTTACACACTGTTTTGAAAAAACACATACTTATCCTTAGGTAAATACACTGAGTGGCTGTACATCAACTTCAAGCTCACAATGCAGTTTACTGGGGATAGGTTCAGAAGAGGGGATGAAGAAAGCAAAGGACGTGGCAAATACAGATTTAAATAAGGAAGTGACAGCAAAATGTCATAACTTCCAAAATTATTCTAAAAGACTTTCAACTTCTTAAATACAAACTGGGTCATCTCTCTTTGCCAGTGGTAATTCTTGTGGGGAGTTTGGCATACTCACCCAAGATTAGACATTTCATATAGCCAGCTAAGCTAGAACAGTGTACTGCTTTGGTTACCTCTGTGATGAGAGGATGCAGGAGAAGGGCTTCTTTAGAGTAAGATTCAGAGTGGAACTGTAAGTACTTTTAGACTGCCTTCTGGAGGAGTTCCTTTCCTTTGACTATGAATGTGGGGAGAGCAGTGCACATAACTACATAATATCCCTCCTTTGTGTGTCTGTTATTTAATACAGTTGTACAGAAGCTGATTCTACAGAAAAAAAAAGATGATTCTTTCTTCTGAAGAAAGCTGTTAGGAAAACTACTTCTATGGTTTTGTGCTATTTTAGTGAGTTGCAGATATTTCAGTGTTTGGTGGGCAGGTGAGTCAGAAGTCTCTTGAAGTTGTGAGGCTGCAGAAATAGCATTGAGAGGTGTCAGTAGTTCTTATCGTTCTATTTCAAAATGTGATTTTGCAGCCAGTACTCCTGTCCATGCATGTGGGTTTTTTTCACACCAACATATGTCTCACATATGAAAATGAACAGAGCTCTGAAGGGTAGGTGAGTCCTGAACCTTTTTTTCTGACTTTTTTTCCTTCTTCTCCTGCTCTGTGGTGGGTTGACCCTGGCCAGCTGCTAAGCACCACAGTTGCTTGCTCATTTCCCTGCTGGTGGGATGAGGAAGAGAATAGGAAGAGCAAAAGCAAGAAGACTTGTAGTTTGAGATGAAGACACTTACATGAAGGAAAGAAGAAGGGAAGAACCTGAGAGATGTGAATGCCATCACTCACCGCCTTCCACAAGTAGAGTAGTGTGCAACCAGTCTCCTACCCATGACAGTGACTACTTCCCCCAAAATCCCCTTCATTTAGTTTTTCTGGTTGAGCAAGGCACTATATGGCATGGAATATACCCTTGGTCAGTTTGAGTTAGCTGTTGAGGTTGTGTCACCACCGCGCGTTGTGCCTACCTGCAGCCTACTCACTTGTGGTGTGCAGACTGGCAGAAAGAGAAAGTACTGCTCAGCAGCAGCCAAAGCACCAGTGTGTTGTCAGCGCTGCTTTAGTCACAAATCCAAAACACAGCACCCTCTTCAGAAAATGAGCTCCGTCCCAGCCAGACCTAGTACACCTACTCCTTTCACTTGGCATCAACACACTTCTTGGCCCATTTCAGTTTTGCTAGTATTGATGACTTCTGCTGCATCAGAAGAAGTTATCACCTACATCTATATATTTGCCTCATCAACTGCCCTTTCTTTCCAGCTGTTCTCTAAAATCCACTATTGCCTTTGCTTTTTCCTTTTAGCTTCTTTTTTTTTTTTTCCTTTTTGCGACACATAAGACAATTAATGAGCTCCAAGCTGAAATTTGGGATTCAGCTTGTAGTAGGGTAATGCATCCATTTGAATGCATGAAGTGAAAACATTCTTTATTGTGGGTCTTCTTTTATTGTGCATTAGAATGTCAGCATGTATACTTTACATAAAAGTTGCTTGCTTGTTCACTGGGAGACTACTTAACCTTAATTCATCTGAAAACGGTATGTCTGTTGCTGTGTTAAGCTTACAGCAGAAGTTGCAGGAGATTGCTGATAGGGCCAGATGCACAAATCTAATGAGTTTTCTTTCAGGTTAGAGCGCCCAGGAGTTCTCATTAAATAAATGGCAGTGATAGAGGGACAACTCTTAAAATATAAAATCTCTGTGCTGTGCCAGCTTGTTAGAGAAAGGATTACACGTCGAAGTCGTAATGAAACAATACCATACTTCAGCATGCAGGTTAGTTTTTGAGCTTGCTTCAGAGATTTGTTCTTGTATAGTAGCTGCCTATTGGTACTGCAGTACTGAGAATCTGAGACCTCCTGCTTTGCAGTACAGAATGTACTGAAATAGGAGGGGAGCATTACCTATTTGTATCTTCATGGCTGAAATTTCTTAAGTGTAAACTGGTATTTTTTTGACAGTTTTATATAAATTGTGAAAATAAAGCTTCTGGTTCTGATTTCTTATTTGTAAAGAAACAGTTCTTTGAGCTGTGCAGTCTACAGAGTATTTGAGTACTCTATTTCTGCATGCAATTCCTACTTTGCTGTGTAAACTGGTAGGCTGGAAAATACTTCAGTCAAGAAGGATCTTGGACAACGTTGCCAGTGATGATATTATAATATTTTTTCTTGCTTCCTATTGAGTCAAAAAATGAGATGCACTGGTATAGACATGAATGTCTTATGTTTTGTTTTCAGAGAGCATGCTGAGGGCTGGGGAGGTCTGACCAAAAAATAGATCGATTATCACAGTAAAACATTGGAAAAACTCAGTCTGATTTGAATCTGAATTCCTTTCTCCTTTGAATTCCAGGCCTTCCAATGCATTTACTGTTCCTCTGCTTACTTAGAAAGTGGCCATTTCACTTAGGCTTTGGCTTCCTGCTGTGGTGGAACAGTTACGTTGGTGAATCCTTTGAACCGTCAAAAGTGGGATGCTGTAGAAGCTGGTTTTGACCATTTTGTTTATGACACGCTGTCCTTGTACATGTTGGCGTGCAGGTGAATTTAAGCTTATTTTTAGAATTTAATGAACTTACAAGAACCTGTAGGAAAAAGTTTGGTTTCTCTGCTTGTCTGCTTTATTAGGCTAGATTTTCTGGGTTTTTTTCCCCAACAATCTCTCACATTTTTGCAGCAGTTATCTCACAGTTGGTTATTGTGGGAACTGTGATGGTGAAAATGGGACTAAGAAAGCAGAAAAAGACATTTTATTTGTGAACATCGATGTAGTTTTCTTCTTCAAGTTCTTTGGGAAACATTATTGGTGTTTAAAAGCATAAGCTTGCATTGCAGATCCAGTGCCCCTAAAGATTGTACCTGTGGTATTCCATAAAATTATGTATTGCTTTAAACTTGTTTAAAAAAAAACATCTGAAATCACTCCTTCAGCAGTTTTTTGACATTTCAGGACTATTAAATGATCATTTTAAACCATATCTAAAAAAAGAAATTTGAATCTCGTTGAAATATTGGTATGTCAGGTTTCATGCCAGTGAGACTCTCATCAAGAAAGTTACAGCCTATTTGGTGTGTAATGAGGGCACCAAGTGGGCCTGGATCACAAACACAGACCTGCGATTCCAGATTTCTGGTTTTCCTGCTCTGAAGATTAAAATACATTATTCAGAACTAGGGAGAACAATCAAGTTTAGCATTCCTGTAAAGCAGCATGTTGGAGCGTGCAGTGGTTTACAGTTCAGATCTGTAACAAGGGATGGGGGGAGTTGGTGGGTGGAGTCAATTTGGCATGAAGGAAGTTGACCAAAACACAGAACAAACTAAACTCAAGTTTGAGTAGTGCAGTGTGTAGAAATGGAAGATAATGAAGTTATGCCTATGTTTTTTTCCTACTATGACAAGAAAAATAAGAAAAATGTTTCATTTCTGTCAGTCATTTTGGTGTTTTGATATTCTGCCTCACGCATTTCAGTCAAGCACTGGGTTTTCCTACTGTTTGGCTACAGAAAATGACAGTCCCTTTAAAAAACCTAAAATACAAAGGAATTTTGAGGAGTATGATTTTATATGCCCAAGTAGTGAGTATGGGGTTCAGTACCTGGTAGCATGTGTAAGTCTGAGTATTTCTGGGCTTTTTTGCTCTTGCTGCCTGGAAATCATGTGATTAAAATGTTAATGCTGAGTATGTTGTCTTTGACTTGGAAAGGTCTTGCAGCAGGGTCAGAGCCATAGCTCCAGCCAGGCTGATGATATCCAGAGGTCTTCATGTGCCCACTGCTAGAGATAAGCTCTCTAGCCTACACATGATGATACTGTGGACATGCTGCGCTGGAGTTGCGTAGCCTGTGTTCAGCCATGTGGCAGCTAACTGCAGACCTTGGTTTTGTGTGCATTTCAATGTTGTAGCAAGACCTACTTCGTGTGGAGTGTTTGTAAAACCTTCTGCAGCACGTGTAAAGAAACCAACATTTATATTTGCTCATTTTCCTACATAAATTAGACAGGTGGTTTTGTGGAAGGGAACCCACTGTTTAAATAATCATTGTGTGTTTGCGCTATTGAATCCTGAGGTGAATTAGAAAGAGTACAGTGCTTAGGAATGCATCATTTTAGCTATTCCACTTAACACACACAGAGTTTTTAATCAAGTTCCCTGTACTTTGGTACAGTATCTGGCTTTTTTTGAGCCACGTTTGTTGCTCTAGTCTATTTAGCCTTAATTTCACAATCAGATTTCACATAATTTGATTACAATGTAACTGCTAGTTAAATTTATAAGAACACTGGAAAAAGAAGGGAATTGTGTCTGTGCATATTAGATGGATAAGGAGGAGGTAAAATATTTACAAGGTTTACCTTGGTGCACAAAAGACCTCAGTGGCTTTCCTAGGATGAGAACTTGGTTTCTTTGCTGATGGTCTCAATGTAAAGGGGAAGGGTCTGATTTCTGTCACACCAGCTTTACTTTACATGTCAGCCATTACTCTTAAGTACATCTTGTTTTGTTTCACAGAACAGAGGACAGTAGTCTGCAGTCTTCTCAAAAGCCATACGTCATCACAGTGTGCTGTCTAGAGGTGTTGGAAGTTTGTGTTGTGAAAGTTCTGAGGAGGAAAGTCTAAAACTCTGTGTTGCAATGGTGATAAATTGCCTTTGAAACCCAAGGCAAATTAGACTGTTTTGGTAGTGAGGTGTTTGAGGGGAAAAGTCAGGCTTTGGTATAGCGTGTACCTAAACTCTTTTTTGCTCAGAATTGTTCAGAGATCTGCCTGCAGTCAGTATGTGCTTGGGAGCAGCTTTTTGCTGCGATGACAGTATACTTAGAATAGCTCCTTGGCTGTCTCTGAACTGTTACCTCTCAACTTCTGAGAGCTGGCTTGTCCCCCTGTGTTTTTATGCCACGCGCTGCAGAAGTTCAGTGGTATGCTGGATTTGGATTCCTCCTTGAAAAGGTAGGAGGTGCCACTTACTGTCTCTTCAACCTTTGGTAGACCTGATGAGTTCTGTGCTACAGTTAGAGATCCATCCCTGCCTTGATGACAAACACCACAGCATTCAACAGACTGTGCAGTATCTGTTCTTCTAAAAACACTCTATTTCACTTAGGCTATAAATTGAATCCCCTACTGTCATATCTTCTGAGCATTTAGGGTGCTGTGGGAAAGCCTACATAGCTTCTCTGGAGGAAAAAAAACTTGAACTCTGCTTCTTATGTTATGACCTTTCCGTATCATTGAAGGGTGAATGCAAGCTAAACGTATTCCTTCAATCCAAAATAAATAGAAGTGATTGCAAGACTGAGTGAAATATCTGTAGACGGTTTCAGGAAGTCTCTTCTTGGTAAAACGTAGCGTGTCAGCCTGTTAGATTGGCAGCATTATATTTGCTAGCATTATACTTACTGAAAACACATGAGAAGATGAGAAAGCTTCTCCCAAGGTGCTAATTTTAGGGAGGAGTTAAGAGGAAGATCACTTTTATTGGAAGCACCATTGAAACAGGCAGGCGGGCAGGTAAGCTGTATGTACCTGTTCTAGGCATAACACAATTTATTTGCTGTTACACTAATAAAATTCCTCCAAAGTCTTGTGACTCTGCAGTGCATTCACAAAACCAAGTTTACTTTAGGATTGAGTATTTATACTCCAAATGTATAGTTAATGATGTTTGCACTCTGGTAACTTTTTGCTGCATTTATCTTTCCTTAAACAGAATGAAGATGGATTAACAGAATTCTTTGAAGATGTGGTAAAACATACCCAAATGAAGCCAAAGAAAGTGCTCGGCTGGATTCTAAATGACATGCTCAGTTATTTGAACCAACATTCCCTTACAGTAAAGGAAAGGTCAGGCTTCTTGATTACTACAGCTGTGAAACAAAAGTCATCCTTTCCTCATATGTCATGGATAGCATAGTGTCACTCCGTTGCTCACTTGTACTTTAGTTACCTATAAGTTCATTGTGCTAGGCACAGTGCTGTATAGGTCTTGACACTGTCACACTGAATGAACTTAACCAACTATCTTGCAGAGAAGAGGACCATGTAGTTAAGAGCAGTAATCAGTCTTCCTTCTTTGGAATATGGCAATGGTAAGGTATAGTCAGGCTATAATATCCTAAAGCTGGGTAGAGTGTGTCTAGTAGCTTGTCATGCTAAACTGTGTTATCTTTAGCCTTACCCTATGAAGTAACTTCTGTCCCCTTCTTCCCTAGCCCAGTCAGTTCTTCTATCCTGGCTGACCTTCTGAACCTTCTAGAAAAAAAGCAAATTTCTTCTTCAGCAGCCAAGCAAGTAAGTACCTTCCCGATTTTACTGTACCTTGAATCTGTTGGTGCTTACTCCATTCATGTAGCAATCTTGTGATCAGTGTGTGCCAGTACATCAGTTGCTTTTAAAGGAAATCTTTTGAGTGTTGATGAAGGGTAAATTTTATATGTATACTATATAGATGGAAATGCCTCGTGTATATAATCTTACAGGTACGTCTGCATATTCAGCGTTAGAAGGAGGTGCAAACCAAATTGTAGATCTAAGCAATGTAAACTAAGGACAGCTAAGTAATCTTGCTCCTGAACAGACTGGACACTGGATCTCAGTTTCACAGTTCGAGTCAGTTAAGCTGAGACTGTCAGTTACTAGGTACTAAGGGGAGAGTAAGGTCTATGTTCCTAAGCATTAGCATGTGGAAAAGGCTAGAGCATAGTCACAGAAAGAGTTCTGCTATTGATGTACCCTTGAGTCAGAAGTGGAGAGGTCTGGCCTTTCTTTTATTGCTGCTTCTTTGAGCAAGGGCTGTCATGGACCTCTCAAGCAAGTATGAATGGGAAAGCTAGTTTCTCCATCCTTTAAAATGCCATCCTCCTTAGGACAGTCTGAAAAAGCAGCTTGATGATTTGTATCTAAAATTGTGAACTGCTTATGATGGGTATGGTGACTGCTGTGCCTACAAACAAAATCTGGAGGGGTTTTGTGATAGGAAGTAATCTGTCATTCACCTTCAGTTGTTGCCAGCTCATTTATGTGGAATGCATTGTCTTTTCAAATGAATTAGTATCCTGTAGATGAATATATGAGGTGAGTGTTTCTTCTCAGGTGTTTATCAGTGAAAATTTTCATGAAGATACTTAACTTCCCTTGTCTGCTTTCAGACATTTAACACTGGAATACACAGGGCAGGTTTCCATCTTTTTAGCTCATACTGGTTTAATCAAAGAACAACTTGATAGCATTGAAGTCGGTTCAGGCTTTTAGTATGAATATAAACCGAGTGTAACTGTTGCAAATGTCCCTCTTTGCCCTACTTGGAGACATTTGAACTCCTTGGTTTGTTGTTTTCTTTTTAGGAGATGCTTGTGGTTCCTACTGAGGTTGGTCTTGTTGGTCTGCTTCTGTGAACAGCCAGCTGCATATGACAGGTGTCATAAATAAGGATTTAAGTGCCTGACTTCAGACATGTGCATTTGGAAATTTTGGAAAAGTAAAAGCTTCAAAAAGGAGATAAAGTATTAATAGGAAAAGCATTGGCATGCAGAGCACTTCTGTGCCTGCGGGGTGATGGCACACCCATCAGTTTGGTGTCTCCATTTGAAAGAGAAGCTTCAGAACTCCAGCCTCTTAACTCTGGGCTTCCTTGTGAAGGTAGAGACAGGGACTAATGCTTTTCTATGGGAGTTTTTTGCCTTGTAATATATTTGTGTGCCAGCACTTCTGACAGGTTATGAAGCGTCAGGAATTTCAGAGATGCTTTTCTTGTTTAATTACCAAATCCTTGCAACGAGCACATTGTGCTCAGTGTTCTGAAGTCGGACACAGAAATAACAATACTGTTAGCCATCACTGAGTGATCCCATCAAACTGCAGAAACCTTGCCACATTTAGAAAAGTATTTTGGTTGCCTGGATGTCAGAAGAATAACAAATGTTTATAACAATTCTCAGCAGTAGGCAGAGATAGGGGATGGCCTGAGGGCAGAGAGGGCTATATATACACGCCGGCAGATGAACTGCAGCACTTGGGGTGGGGGGGAACAAACTGCAGTGGTAGGGACAGATCCAATGAGAAAAGATGGAAGGGTTCTATGGGGTGAGTGCATAGACATGCAGACACATACATGCTCACTGCAGGAAGCTATTAACAGTTTAAATTTTTTAAGAGGTTTTGTGTTCTGTCTCTGCTGTATAAGGCAGCAAAACACAGGCAGATGAAAGCTGTGAACACTGATTATAGACACAGAAACACAGAACATTGTTATGGTAGGATGCATATGTCAAGGAAAGGGCACTGTGTGCTTAGATAATTACCACTTAGGTAATTACAGAGCTCACGCCCAACTTGCCATCAAATATAGCATCCTACTCCAGAGGTCTCCGAAGCAGCTCTAGACTGGCATGCCTGTGCAGGGGGGAACAGCTTCAGCTCTGCCTGTGCGCAGGGTGGTGGAGTGATTGCGTCCTGGGTTCAGGGACTTGCATAGGTGTTCTGAAGTTCACAGTGGGAGGTGCCCGTGCTGCTCACCAGGGCTGAAACCAGTCTGTTGTGGTGGGGACCATGCCCAAGATAGGGCCCTAGTCCTGGTTTGCAGGGCTGGCAGTGGGTACGTTACTGGTATAAGGGGCCCGCCTTTGAGTTATGGAGCTGTGGGAGGAGGCTGGGTCCTGCAGCAGAGAAGCAGGACCCTGCTGCTGAGAGACATGATGAAACTACTCCATTTGGACACCCTTGTGTGTTCTCTGGGGACCTGTAGCAAGGTACGGAGCAGAGAAGACCACAGGTCTTGTTTACTTCTGCAGTTGCATAGGTCACACACGTAGGAGTAACTTCAGCAGACCCTTGGAACGCCTACTTTAAAGTAGAGAATAGGGAAATGAGTACAGTACACAAACCTAAACAGAACCATCTGCTTTGACAATTACGGCTCCACCATCTGGAGGACTGAACCCAGCCTGCCCCTCACTTTTGTTAGAGGCTGAGGGACAACTGCCAGACGTTGAGATTTCCATCCTGGAAATGAGAGATGCCCCCAGGACTGACTCAAGTGGTACTGCCTGCTGCTTCCCTCCCACCCTTGGCAGCAAATCACTGCAGATAGGGTTTCCAGTTGGAGCGTTCTCAGGAACAGCAGTCAGCTGGCACATTCACCGGTTGCAAAATGTTTGATATGATGCCCGTGGCAGCCAGACGTGTAAGTCCTGATTAATTCATCTTGACCAGTGGTTTGCTTGCTATGCCTGTGTATGTAGAGACTGCAGAACATCATTAAACTCTAATCATGCTCAGGTAGGAATCAATAGTAGAAACTACTGAGATTTCAGTAATGGAAATGAGGCCTGAGATTCTCGTTTTGGCTCTGGAGACTTCATCATTTGCTCCTCCTGTTCTGGTGCAGGCAGTTTGTGTAAATGACTTGAAATAGTTTTTTAAACTGCTTTCTTTAGATTCATACTCCGTGCCAGGTGGAAAAACACATTTTTAAAAGTGCATCTTTGACAGGTCTTGGCCACATCTCTTTCTGCTTTCCTACGCACCTGTAAACAAACAAGGGCCTTGATAACATTGTTGCTCTACTAGCAAGTGAAGATGCTTGTTACCAAATTGAAAAGTACACACAATGCAGATGTCAAAGGGCAAATCTGGTGCCTTCAAGGTTTCTAATGGGCCAGCTTTTCTCCATGCCAAGAGATGTTTGGCATAGGAATAGCAGGGAATCAGAGCTGGATCTCTGGCTGTCAAGCTGTCCTGCCCCTGATCTAAGTCAGCCTGATGTACGAGTTGCTCCAGGGTAACTGCCATGGTTGGCTGTGTAGATTTTGTTGCCGATTTTCCCCTCCTGCAACCCATGGCATCCTGCCTGAATACATATCCATCCTAAAAATCCCATCTGCCTTTTCCCAGGAGAGTGCTATGGCTTATTCATTGTCCAGCCCCTGATTTGTGCAACATTTCAGAGTCTCCAGGGCATTTTGCTATGGGCTGTGCTGTGCAAAGAGGACGGGGCTCCTTCTGAGGGGTGATGTGCTGTCCCTGTGCCTTGGGAGGCCTTGAGGACAGAACACTTCCTGTTAGGTCCCTCAGGGAAGGAACAGAGGGGGCTGCCTGGGGCAGCAATGAAGTGTAATGAGAATAACCAGCCTGCAGAAAGGCTGAATCTCTGTTGGATGTATTTCTTTCTACAAGTATTCCAGGTAGTGCTGGCATGATGGCTTTTAAGTACTGCATTAGAAGGAAGATCCAGTAGAAAAGACATCATATACTGCACTGATTTATTTAGACAGAAACACCTGAAAGCTTTACTTATAGCAGGTATAACTCTGGCTGCTTATCAGTAAATTTAATATTGTGATGCTCCTTTAACCCTCCTAGGGAAAAAACAAGATGTAGCTGCCACAGTACAGCTGCGTCTCAGTGCTCGCTCTCAAGGGCTCCAGCAGAGTGATAAGATCCCATTAAAAGCTTTGGGGTGCTGCTGGCACACAGATCTCCTCTTGGAGGAATTGTGTCAATGCATGGTTCTTAAATACCTGTTGTGGCTATGAAATTCTTTAACTGAAGGTCTTTTGTACCAGAAAATTTGCCATGCTGAAGAAGATTGCTGAGATACCTAAGACAAGCCAAGATGCCATAGAATTGTAGAATAGTTAAGGTTGGAAAGGACCGTAAGATCGTCTAGTTCCAACCCCCCTGCCCTACCATCCCACATGCTTCATTTTCTCTAAGCTGTCTTGCTGCCCTGCTAATGGTTTAACATGCAGTTTGAATGCCCCTTCTTGTCTCCCATCCCAGGCTTCTCTTCCTCCTACAGTGAGTATTTAATGCTGAAATTTTGCCATGACATCCATTTCCATATTGGTATCCAAGCAGTGGCCCAAACATAAAATTACATCTTCAGCTCAGGATGGAGCACAAGCAGCTGCTTTAATAAGGGTTTTCTTTCTCTCCTCCCACAGCTCTGAAATAAGAGCAAAGTGAATACAGAGAATGACTGCCCAAGGAAATTGTTTTTTTATAAATGTTCTCTTCTTTCCAGTTTATTCCAGGGAGATAGCCCTGCTGCAGCATAGGCAAACAACTAGCATTCACAGGTGATTATTCCAGAGGCCTGGGTTCGCCCAGCCATCCAGTACTTGGAGGTGATGCATAGGTGGGCTGGAGCTGCTGCATTCATTCTGCTCAGCGCTATTTTTCTTCTGTTTTGTCACACATACCTTCATTACAGCTTGCTGATGAGAACTGGTAATGGGGTGAGTTACCTGGGACTGGACTTGGTACAATAGTTAGCTAATGGTCAGTTCCTGGGCAGAGACATTGCTCATGAAAATGCATTTGCTTAGTGCTCTCAGGCAGTTCTTGTGAATCATGTGAGATCAGCATGAGTACTGCCAGAGGAGCAGCCCTGCAGTCGATGACAGTCCTGCCATCCGTGGTGACCCCCTCTCCCAGTGAGGAGTGCTCAGGAAACATCTGTGAGGAGGCAGGGTACAGGCACTGGGTGGTAGCAGGCAGTCCCCGGTGCTGTGGTAGGCTGCAGAGCACCGTCTGCAAACCATTAACCTGTGCTCATGCAGTAAGTGAAAATGTTTTGTCTTATCTCAGGGAGCAGAAAAGGAGGGAGAGTGCAAGAGCCATTTCAGCAAGGACTAAATCTTGGGTTTGTTCAAATTTAGACAATCTGCTGTTGCTTTAAATAAAACCTGGCTTCTTGGATCAGTAACTGAAATACTGCATATAAACAACCTTGCTAAGACACTGACCTCTGCTACACACTGTGGCTTTCAGGTGCTTGTGGAATTGTGGAAAGGAAAAGGGAAGACTCCTCTTGAAATTGTTAAAGAAAAGAAACTTGAACTGATACAGGATCAAGAAGCACTTGAACAGATCTGCCAGGCTGTGATTGATGGACAAGAAGATGAGGTGATTATGATGGTGGAGGGAAGCTTGTACTCTACAGCAGTATGTGGCATTAAAAAGGGGGTTAAAATGGGGTCTTTTTTTTCCCACTGTTGATTGGCATTTGAGCTGTAGAGCCAGTATCGGAGCAGTAAAGCTGCTGCTGCTGAGCGATTATCAGCCTTTTCTTCTCCTTTCTTGGTAAAATCCAAGTGTTTTTTTAGAAATGGAAGCTTGCACAAAATGATCAGCAGAAGAAATTACCAGTCTGGCTAATGCGCTAAGTCATTCTGAGACACCATGAAAACTTAATGCAAAACTGTAGGGCCCTGTCCCTCTGCAGCTGTACCACCATTAACCTGACCTGTTACCTGGCCACCTCACTCTGATTTTTACGTCATCCTTTGTGATATTAGGACAACACAGTTACAAAGCTGGAGATTGAAGCTACCTGCCAGCAAGAAATATATTAGCTATGGAATTAGAGGCTGTACCAGAGCTGGCAAGGCAAAAATTTTTCTTGCATCTGTCTCTTCCCCACGTCCCCGTCTCCCTTCACTGCCAAAGAGAAGAGTCCAGCTGGCTCTCAGTGTGGGGTGGCAAGGAGCCGGACCCTGTGGCAGCGGTGGCTCCAGAGCTGCTTCCCTTCTGCTCTGCAAAAGGGAAGATGAGGGTTTGGCTCTTCCCCATCTCCTTGGAAGGACACGCAGCAGCCTGCTTCGCTTATCAGTCTAACAAAGTCTGAGCTGGGAAAAAGGGAAAACAAACTTGTTTATTGTGAAGGGGAGGAGCAGGAAGGGATCCTGACAAGAGTCTAAAATCCATCTTATAAAAAGCAAAATGAAAACGAGTACTTACATGTTCTCTGGAGTGCAAATGTAAAAGCAGAAGTGAATAGCTTCCTTTTAATATAAACATTGTCTGGCTACATTTGCCATTTGGAAAAAAAACCATTAGCATCTTTTGAGAACAATACCACCCACCCCAGATCTCACTGGGGGATGCTAACAGCTCTGCAAGAGCTTTTGATAAAGAAAATGAGCCTGCAGTAGGTCGGTGTGACCTCCATCAGGCTGACTCATTTGCAGAGCCTGATAAAAGTGCTGCTGTGTTCTCAGCCTGGATAGAAAGAACATTGGAACGGATTGGGAAGTACAGAAGCTGAAGGTCCATAACTGCACTCCCATTTCAATAATAATGCTTTCTCCAAGAATGTTAATTCCTCTCTGTTTTCCCCTGTTTTTGTCAAACTGAATGCAAGTAGGATGGCCTTGCTTTCCGAACTTTCTCCAGGTGATTCTTTCACCAAGGCAAAAGCTGCCTTGAAGGCCTGTACTACACTGCTTCAAATTGCTGCAAGAGCTCGCCTTACAAAATAGCGTTAGCTCCATACTTGGGGGAGACAAGGGGGGGAAGGGAACTACACTGTTTTTCTAGCAACTTTCTTTAAAATAAGCTAACTTACAAAGAATTGCTCAAGCCACCACCGGGCACCTCATGAAAATGCAGCACCTGGATTGTGCTGCCCTTTGTCCCACACAGGTAATCTCTCATAGCTCGGGAGTGACAAGTCCTTCTCACTCTGTGACACTACAGAAAAGATTTTAGTCTGCCAATAATTTGTATACTATGACTAGCAGCAATATTTGCATTTGTGCTTGGGGTTGGCACAGTTGGTGGTTCATATGTTCACAATCCTTCCCTTAGTATCTGTAAATATGACCTCCTGTTGGACTGAAGCTATCACGTTTTGCCCAGTAATTGACAACACAGAGAATGCTTTCCCTGCCACAAGGCCAGGTGCATGTCTTTCAGCAGTAGCATCTCCTTTAGGAATGCCCAGAAAGCTGAAATTTCCAGTGTTTTTTTTTCACTGTCCTTACTTAGCTTTTAAACATGGCCATTGCTATTTTGTAGGTGATTGTGCATCAAACACTAGCTGTCTGCTAGGAGGTCATATTTCTGATCGCTTAATTAATTGCTGTGTTTGAAAGGATTCCTTGCTTAAAGGAAGTAACTTGCTGTTACAGAAACACCTACGTTTGTGCTTGAAGGACCTCACATTATCAAACAGAGTAAGATTTGATGCAAATTACTTGTTACAACTGAGCATGATATTGAGTGAAAAGCTAGATCCTATTAGCAAGAGAAGCCCATCTCGTTTTTCTGGCTCTCTTCCAGGAAACAGCTGTCCAAGTTGCAGGCACTGTTAAAATCCAAAAGTGTTTTCTGACTTTTTCAATAAGAGGAGATCTTTCTATTAGTCATAAGGCCCTGCTGCTCTGCAGAGACTTGCTGCTGTCTCATGGGAGCAGAGCAGGAGCTGATTGCAAAGCTGAAGGCAGTTTTTATAAATAACACCTTAGCCCAAAATACAGTATTTACCACCATGGTCCAAGGGACAAGAACAGTCATACCTTGGCTGCTTTTTCTGTAACAGTGTTGTCTGTCTTTGTTTTTTTTTCTTTAAAGGTTATGGCAATCAAGGCAGGAAATCACAAAGTTCTGAACAAGTTAATCGGCCTGGTACAAAGGAAAACCCAAGGACGATCCAATCCTGTTCTGGTGAAGCAACTGTTAGAGAAGAAGCTGTTAGGGTAGCCACAAGAGGGAAAACCCATACCAGCATATACACAAGACATGCACTTCATTCTATCTGGTTCACTGCAAATGAACTTCCATGCCTCCTCTCGTAGCATCAGGATTGCTGCTTATACTTCAAGTAGCGCTGTGGCCTGGCCTGGCCCAGCCTTCCCTGGGTGCAGCAGCCAAAGGCAGATGAGAAAGAGAACAACAGGAAGCGATACAGTCATTTTCATCTCCCTAGCATCAGTGTGGCCTTCAGAGATGCGATTTCCTCACAGCCATGGGAAACAAGTTCCCAAAGTGCCCATGAGTATGCAGGGAGCTGCAGCTGTATTGGTTAGTTTTGTAGTAAGTCAAGTGTCAACTTGGCTTTCCTAGCTGCCTTTTTGGGAGGAGGGAAATTCATCCATCTGGAATGCAAAATCCGGTGGTGCACACTGTTAGTGTGAGCACAGAGGTGATGATTAAAAACCACAGCAGTAATTAAGATCATGTGTGTCTCTGTGCATAGCAGAAGGGTAAGTATGTCCACTGTTGTCATTCTTCCTGGTTTCTGAGGGATGGGGAAAGAATGAAGTCACTTGGTGCTTCAGTGCCCAAGGCTTGTGCCACAAACAGATGCAAGTGCTTACGTCTAAGACTTAGTGTCAGTTCGTTTGCTCACCTTCACCTTGTGATGTACTCAAACATCTGCTTTGCCTACTCACAGCAATTTCAGTTCTGAAGAGGGCTGAATTATGTGTGCCTGAGACCTTCTGAGGTTCCCATTCTATTTTGGCCTGTCAGGTTCAGCATAGCAGATGTGCTCCTGCCAGTTCGATTTTTTCCTCTGCTGGCGAGACTTGACCCTGTGCTACAAACACACCAAGCCCAGAGCTGCTCCCTTCTCTGGCACGTGGCTTTCTGCTCTCACCTGGAACTGCAGCACTTTGTGGAGGGAATTGAACATGCAGTTGGTGTACCAAAACCGAGCAGGGTTCAGCTGGGGTCCAGGGTCTGTTCCACTATTTGATCTTGAGGAGTGTTTCATGCTGTTTTTTTAATACCTTCCAGTTTTCAGCTCTAGCTTTATGCAGCCACAGAAAGGCAGGGTCCTAGTGTTAACTTCCCAGCCCCAAATCACTTCAGGTGCTCAAGCTATTAACAGGAAACACAACTAGAGGCAGCCTATCACAATTACAGTGGTTAGGGAAAGAAATCCCATTTAGTACGAGGGGTTTGAAGTTCTTATAATCCCTTCTGGAGGCTGCTAAGCTGTACATTTTAAAGATCACATCTGCCTCAAACCTCAGAGGTGCTCCCTCAGAACAGTGCTTCAGGTTCTGCCTGCAGGGCAGACATTGTCACAGGAGTGCAGCACATACAGCCCTGGGACTACAGTCACCTTTTGCAAATAGAGTGCCTGCAACACTAGGTATAACTAAGTTGCTCATCCTCATGAGCAGCTTATCCTCATGCATCGTAGTGCCGGTGTATGGCTTGAGGAGGACAGTTCTGTGCAAATTAGCTCACTGTTCAAGTGTGGACTCCTGTCAGAGGGAATAAACTCCTGTGGTTTTCAAATACATTTAATGAATTAAAATGTATACCCATGATTCACATAAAAATAACTTTACAATTCAAATATCATACAAGTGACAAAAAGCAGTAACATGGGTTCAATCAAAAATTGTGACCCTTCAACAACAACAAAAAGAAACCCATAAACATTCAAAACTCCTTAAAAAAAACCCAAACCAACCCTCCCCCAGGATTTTCGTATGACCTGACCTTCACACAAAGGCTTTTACTATCACTTTTCATGGGAGCAAAAAGTAACATTTTTTACTTACCGTGGTGTGAGCTTTCAGTTAAGTGTTCCATCAAGAAAGCTTTAGATTATACAGCAAACTTTTAAATGTTGGAATTGTGTTCAACTCTTGCCATGGCAGCAAGAAACAAAAGGCACAAAGGCTTTCTTAATCTCAAGGTACACCCTCAAGCTGAGAAAAACAGGAGTTGTTACTAAAACATGGTACTCCAGGATTAATGCTTTGTATTGCACAGCTTGCTACTGATGGGCTGTTGCCCCTCTGCTGTAGTGGCTGCCTCTTAAAGAAGAGAAAGCAAAACAGTAATGGATTTGGAAGAGTAATAATGAAGCTGTATTTAAAAGAAAGAGAGATCTCCACTACTGTAGCATGGCTGCTGCTGGTAAAGGTTTTTTTAATGGCTCGCTCTTCTTAGGCCTTGTTTCCTATGTAATTACACTTTGTTACTATGGTCCAAAATCTGTTAAAAATCATGAGTCAGGTTCTATATTATGAGTCTATATGAGCATGTTAGATCTGTGAATGGATAAAGGAAGAGCAACTGATATCATGTACCTGCACTTGTGCAAGGCATTTGACATTGTCCCACATGACATCCTTGTGTGTAAACTGGAGAGACATGGATTTGACAGATGGACCACTCAGTGGATGAGGAATTTGCTGGGTGGTCACACTCAAAAGAATTGTGGTCAACAGCTCAATATCCAATTGGAGACCAGTGACAAGTGGTGTTCCTCAGGGGTCAGTATCTGATCCTGTTTAACATCTTTGGGATGGGGACTGATCCTGTTTAACATCTTTGTTGGCAATTGAGTGCGCCCTCAGCAAGTTTGCCGATGACACCAAGCTGCGTGATGTCTTCCTATGAAGACAGCTGAGAGGTTGTGCAGCCTGGAGAAGAGAAGGCTCTGGGGAGACGTTAGAGCAGCCTCCAGTACCTAAAGGTTCCTGGTACAAGAAATCCAGAGAGGGACTTTTTACAAGGGCATGGAGTTGACAGGGCAAGCTGGAATGGCTTTAAACTGACAGAGGGGAAATTTACATTAGATATTCAGAAGAAATTCTTCCCTGTGAGGCTGGTGAGGCACTGGCACAGGTTGTCCAGAAAAGCTGTGACTGCCCCATCCCTGGCAGTGTTCAAGGCCAGGTTGGACAGGGCTTTGAGCAACCTGGTCTAGTGGAAGGTGTCCCTGCCCATGGCAGGGGGTTGGAACTGGATGAGCTTTAAGGTCCCTTCAACCCAAACCATTTTGTGTGTCTCTGATTCACTGTACGTCTCAATTTATTTTAGCCCACACATGTCAGACAAAATGGATAACAAGAAAGATTAAAAAGGGATAATTGTAATATTCTTCCCGTTCCAGGGAAGGGAAAGAGCAGCTGTAGTCTATCAGTGTTGTACTGTATCATGAAACACTTCTTAAATTTTTACAGAAATCTTTTGCAGATGCACACAAAATGTAAATTTCTTTCTGAGAGAAAAAAAAAAAAAAAGTGGTTGGAGTCAAAGGAGATCAAGACAATGAATCTTCTTAACATGTGTGGAGCTACCAGAGCAGCAGTAGCTGGCAGCGTAGGGCCTAGTGCTGGGAAGGCTCAGCAGGGCCAGCAAACATTGCTCCCACTATGGCAGCAGCATCAAGGGGCTCATCACTCACTTCATACTAGTTTGATCAAACCCCTACAGCCAGAACACCAGATCCTTGTTTGCCTGCCAAGAGCCTGATAAAGCAGCTAAAATACAACCACCATCTTCCTCTATGTCCTAAATGGAGCTAAAGGCAAATGCTAAATACTCCACAAGCGAACTCTGTACTGTGCAAAAACTGCTTTTGTTTCTATTTCCACAGCAGTCAATAGAGCATGTTAAAAGACACAAGCAGCAGCTACAAGGAATTTAGTATCTATCTGCTACTGTAAAGTCAAATTAAAACACAGCCACAGCACAGGTGGGTCTGCAAGACAAAAGGCAATGCCTGACCATGAAGCATTTAATGTCAGAATATTTTGCAGACCAGGAGGCTGCTTTAAGTGTGGTGCTGCCGGGGCTGGGAACTCAGGAATTAAGACTGAGGCTTTGACCCCAACTTGCAAGTTGTATTTAGCTACAGCAGTGCTCCCTATGATGCTGACTGCCAATGCCATCTGTGCACCAGCGGTAGGCAGGGTGAAGTGAGGACAGTTTTGTGCAGATTTTCAGCAGCAACCATCCACGAACCAAGGAATACACTCACAAATTCAAAGCTGACACCAGACACTGTCATGACAATCTATCTCCTCTACTCTACTTGTGGCTGGGAGTCATTTAGGAGATCACTCCTGAGGGTGGAGAGATGATACTTAGTGTCCTGTGTAGCTGAAGTATCCTATATCCGAGGTTGTAGAAGAGGAGAAGAAAGTTGTCTAAAAAGATCCTGGCAATGCTCAAGTCGTGAAGAAGGAATTTCTAGCACTCAGCCTTGGCTGCAGAGTTAAATTTTAACTGTATTAAAAATAGAAGCCTATGATAGGAACCTTAACTAAAAAATTTACAGCTTCAGGCTGCAATTTCACTGCCACCCCTTTCCACTCCACTCAGTGGCACAGTCTCACTGTACTGTCATGTTCTGTCTGCTCCGAGCACCCCCCTACCTACACATTGTCACAGCCACTGACCTCAGCAGCGTCTTCCAAGTGATTCATGGCCTTGGGTGTACACTCACCATGTAGAGTGTTTGGTTTTTTTCATGTAAAGAAAAGCAAATTGGGTTTCACTCAACTCAAGCTGTGCAAGGGAGAAGACATAATAGCATGCTCCAGGTCTTTTTGTCATTGTTGCCTGTATCTTCCTTGCAATGCTGTTTACAAATGCTCCAAAGTTCACTGGATGCAGCTTCCCTTAATAGCTATATAAAACCAAGTTACAGCAGACAGGATGTCAAAATGTATCGAGCCAGATGCTCAGAAACGTACCTGCACGGGGTTGGTTGTTGAGTGCAAGTCATCCTTGTCCCCTCAGAAGCTGTGAACTTCCAGGTAATGTACACACAGAGAAAATTCTGTTGCTAAACAGTTTGAGGAAAGCAGTGAAATAACAGAATCCTAAGTTGCCATGACCTGTAATTTGCCAGTTCTTTTCTGCCCATTGCAATGGCAAATTTAACCTCCAACTAGAAAAGCCCTGGGCTAAGGGATATGTCCATAATAAGGGATACTTACAGTTGGAGCACAAAGCCACTGAGAGTGCTCCTTCTCCTATGACTGGGCTCCAGCACCCACATCGTGTCAGGCCATACAGCCTGAATTTACCTGCAGTAAAGCCAGCCTACAGAAATGCTCAGGTGCTGCCATGAGGCAACAGAGATGAAAAAGGTGGAGCTTCATGAGTGACCCAAGTGTGTGGTCCCAGAGTGCACTGGGACGCAGTGTTCCCTCTAGGACAACCTCAGTCCTGGACCCTTAAGGCCTCCCATAGGGTGTACAGGCACTTCACGATTGTCTGCAGCACTTGCAGCAGCACTGCAGACATGCATGGATGGAGGGACCCCAACTTTTGCAGTTCCAACCCTTTATCTGTGT